TCAACTTGAAAAGTTATACAATTTGTAACATTTTTGGTTACAATAGAAAATGTTATAAAGTTTATAATAATTTTAGTTACAACAAAAATTTTAGTATAAGGTAATATTTTCGGTTTCAACCTAAAATGTTACCTTGTTTAATCTAAAAAGTTACACTTTCAATAAGATTTTTGGTTACAACCAATTTATGCCGTTTTTAACCTTATATTAACAAGTTGTATTTCAGACTCTCCCTAGGTTATGGTCATTATTTGTCTGCAATCTCTATGTACACGAACATCAGGTCAATGCAATAGCATAAGAAAACTAGAAATGGGGATTCAAAATTAAGTAGATTGAACAAAAACTAGGTTAAAGTTTCTCTTTTAAATAATCTGAGATGATTACAAGGTGTACACATCATGTGTAGATGCAACTGTTCGAATTTAGATCTTTTATAAAGAACTATATTCTCTTTTATCAATAAAACAATTAAAACAACTTGATGGTTCAAGCAATTTGGATTAAAATTCTTAAATATACTTAGAGAACAAGTTTGACTGAAAGATGATCACACATAAGATTATATGTAGCATGCATGTGTGTGTGTTACAAAGATGGATTCTAAGTTGTAACACTGACAAGAGTGTTGGATTGAAGTAAGAAACGAGGAACAAATCCATTGCTCTTTTTGAATTTGGAAATGTTGCTTCAAGGAAGAAGGGGATGGGACAGCAAATTGTCTGTCGATAAACCATTGGATACAAAAGAATATTAAATTCATATAAACTTTTGAATAATTTAATTATAATCGCTTGTTAAACACTGTTCTAGATATCATTTTTCAGTCAGTAACAAGAGCGGATTCAAGAATAAAACTTTTGACTTCTTTTAATTATTTGTCAATTCTTTCAAAAGAAACAGTGGAAAAGAATGTTTCTTCACTCTCATATTGTTCTACTGGTTAAATTTTTTTATTTAAACCTAATAGTAAAAATATATTATTTTTATTTAAATTTAATTATAAAAATATTGACGTAAAATGCACGAACCAACTTATCTCAATGATTAAAGTAATCAATGTTGTTTTTAGAGGTTACGGGTTTGAACACCAGTGATTGTATCAGGGTGATTAAGTGTTTACTATCAAATGATATAGAGTATTTATAACATATACTATTTTATAATCAATTTAGCTTAATAAAAAATATTAACGTAAAATATTTTTCATATATTTTTAAATAATGAAAAGAGACTCAAACTATTTATATATTTTTATTGAATTTTGATTCGATACATATATTTTTAAAATTTAAAGGAAATATAAACCAAGAACTAAAATACAACCTGCAATGAAGAAATGATCACTGCAACTAATTAATTTTTTTAATGGTATAAGGTGATGGATGAGTCTACAGTGCACGTTGTATACTGCAACATACTGAAATATACCACTAACTAAAATGTCTTTATTAATTAAATATTAAAAGGGCAAATTATATGTTTAACACTAAACTATTGAATTAAGTTAACCATTTATGTTAATTTTACCATATTTTGTATTTAACTTATATAATAATATCACCACAAAATCAATATTTTCCAATATTATAAAACTCAAATATGTGACAATTTAAATTAAAGATCGGAAGCTTAATCATTCAATTATAATGCAAATATATTTTTATTATATCAAACTTAATACTTACTAGTATCATTATTGAATTAAAGAATATTTTTTTGCTTTTTTTGAAAATAAAAAAAATAATTAACTAATTACTTTTATTTATTTATAAAATTTATATTAAAATATTCTAAAAAGTTTATTTATTATATTATGTATTTTTAAAAAATATTATTTATTTTTTAAAATCATATTATTTATTTATTTGAAATAATATCATCTTTAGATTATCTATTTAGTTTTAAGTAATATTCTACGGAACCAAAGTGATAATTGGATAGTAAACGTATAATTTATCCTAAATCTAAATTATTTAAAATTAAATAGATACTTTTAAAATAATATTATTTCAAATAAATAAATAATTAAAATTTTAAAAATAAATAAATATTTTTATAATATTATAAATATATTTTTTTTGTAATTATTTTATATAATTTTTAGAAAAATATATAAATTATTTTATTATTTCAAAATAAAGTGAAAATTTAGATTTTTAATTTAATAATGATATAAGTAAGTATTAAGTTTAATATAATAAAAAAAATCACACTATAATTGAGTGACTAAGCTTTCGGTGATTAATTTAAAGTGTCTCGTATGTGAATCTTATTATAATTGAAGAATATTGATTTTGTGTTTATATTGTTATATAAGTTAAATACAAAATGCGGTCAAATTTATCCAAATAACTAGTTTAGTTCAATGGTTCAGTGATTTGTTTCTCATATAAAGTACTCAAGTTTCAATTCTTACTAAGAACATAAATGATTTTTATCTTGTTATCCCAAAGGTGGTGACATGTGTCACCACCTAATTAGTTGAAAAAAATTAATTAAGAAATACTGAAAAAATAAAAAAAGATGATGTGGTAATTAAAAAAATTGACATGTCATGCCACATAAATATTATCGTAAATAATTTAAAAGAAATTAAAGTTTAAATATTAAAATTAAACAAAAGTGATAATTTATGTACAAAATGTGTAATTTATTCTTTTAATATTTACTTAATAAAAATAATTTAGTTAGTGATATGTTTCGGTGCATCACTTTAGTGATATGTTACGGTATGCGACGTATACCGTAGAATTTTCCATAAGGTAATTATATAATGATATATATTCAAAATTTTTCTTAGTTGTTGATAACACATATATCTTATAGATGTAGTTGGTCAAATTCAGATTATGTAAAGAAAATATTTTTTTTGCTGAGATCACTCAATATTATAAACCAAGTAAATAAAATTATGATTAGATGATTTTAATTCAAATCTCAGCGTAAATACTTTTTTTGGGTAAATTTCTGAGACTTGAACCTCCTATAGAAGATGAAGAATAAAGTCACCAGGAAGCCCTGTGGCCGTACATCGAACCAAATAGCTTAAAGCGACAAATGAAAAACCGACACATAAAGGGGTGTTGGGAGAATGAAGAGACACAGTAGTCTAGTACGGATCAACAAGCATAAATGCTTTTTCCATGTGATTAAGATTTTATACAAATCCTTGTAGCGGCGGTTTTAATATAAGATTAAAAAATGTGTTATCGGTTTGATTATTATTTTTAATAAAATGGGTAAAAATTGATTGGAAATATTATTATTTTTATCGATTTTATTATTATTAATAATTATTGATATTGGTAAACTCGGTAGAAAAAAGCGGTAAAAAAAATAATGTTTTAGATAGTGCTTTACCGAATATATTACTAAAACCGATAAAGAACCCAATAATAATAAAACCGGTAGAAATAATAATGTTTCAAGTCATTTTTTACCTGTTTTATTATTTAAATAGTAACAAAATCGGTAACACATTTTTTTAATTAAAGCTATCTCATGTGAGCATTTTCAATCCTTGCGACTTCCTTACTATCTTACAATGCTAAGATTCTCTCCATCATTTTCTTGAGTTGAGATGTTAGAAATGCTAAATAATATAAATTTCATTTTCTTGTGTTTTGACTGTCATTGTAATTTCGTAGTGATTGATTTAATCATTAAATCAATTAATTAGCATTAATTAAAATTAATATAAAGTTAATGAAATGCGTTACAAAAAATATTAAAAAATATTAATATTTTTGATAGCATAATTCTTTAACATTATATTATGATGTCGTATAACATAACTACCTTACAATCTTTGAAGGATGATAGTAACTTCATGGACAACATCCATTTTGAGGTTTACAACTATTTTACTTTTAAGACAATAATTCTTTTAAGATACAATAAAATTTTATTTTATTTCTTTTAAGATGCAATCAAATTTTATTTTATTTTCAATCAGTACTAACATTTTATTTTGGATTAGTAATTTTCCGGTATAAGTTATTAAGGTTAATTTTATGCTATAAGATAAATTTATTAAATTCTAGAGGTGAAAATAGATGATAAGAAAAATATTAAAAAATATCTAAAATATTTAAAAATTAACTTAAAAATGTTTTTAGAGGAAGATTGCCTGCCCCCATTCTCTTTGATTCATCTGTGAACCAACTTATAATTTTGAAGGGGAAAAAATAGCATAAAAGCCCATCACGAGGATCGATCATGGAAAGTTTGGGCTTATGGAGGGACATGAACATCTTGGATACCTATCATAACTCCAAACCTAAAAATGTATGTTTGATTCTAGTCTCTATAAACTGATATGATATAGACACCAAATATGGACATACGAGCTAACAAAGATGTTTGATAAAATCATATTCGATTTTAGACAAATGATGCAGTCGCCCTTTTTAAGAATTTTAATTTTTATATAATTTTTTTTATTAATAATCTAATTTTACACTCACTAAAATTTTAATATATCTTTTAAAGTCTTACCATGATATAAAATTTGTGATCGTTGTTGATTTTGTATATATGAAAGTCATTAATTTCTTATAAGCAACTTACATACATACAAAAAATGAATGAGGATGGTTTATAGTTTGTGAAAAATCCACGTTGAAAGTGAGTAAAAAAAAAAAACCAATGGCTCCTCGCAATTGTCGTGTTGACGCAGAAGGTGCTTTGGGATTTTCACAAACACCAAAATTAAACTTCCCTCCCACAAACTCACTATATATAACCAAGTTTTGACACCCCATGCCTTCCATTTTCTTAGCCAACGTTTTTCATATTCAAAACACAGACAAAATCTCCCAGATTTCTTGCGTTTCTTACACCTTACATCTGTGTTTTGTTTTCGAATCAATTTGTCGTCTTCTTCTTCTTCCACCTTAGTTTTATTACATTTTAAGCTTCTGTCTGTAATTCAGTAGTAAAACTCCTTTTTTTTGTAATTTCATTTCGAAGGAGAGCTTTTCATCCAAGACTAAACCATGTTGGAAGACATGATTCATCCACCACCGGAACAACAACTTCCCATTGTAATTCTCTCAACTCCTCTTTAATTTATTTATTTTTAATATGTTTAGAAATTCATCGTTTTTGTTTGTGTATGCATCATAACAAAGATTCTTTTCTTTAATGCCTAGGTTTTCATCCTAACTATTACAAGGTTTACGTGAGTTTTTGTCTAATATTATTGTCCATTTGATTCTTTGTTCTTTTTCATATCGTTTAAGTTGAATCATTTTCATGCCTTTCCTTTTCATGTGAAATTTTACAAGTTTATATTTTGACCAAATTAATGCCACTGCGTTAGTTTTAGGCTTTCCTTCATTTCATCCAGTACCCTTATTAAACAAAATTGAAAATAAAATAACATCATTTTATTTCTCGAAAAAGACATTAAAATTTTGTTTGAAGTTTCTTTTGGATATTAAATTCTCTTGATAATATGCATATAAGTTATTTTCTTAACATAAACATTTCTCGTTTCAAAAATGTCACTTTTTTCTCAAGGTTAGCATCATCTTCCTAATCCAATCAATGGTATTTTCCTCTCCATATTTTGTTCCAACTTTTCTTTTTGATCTTAATGGAATAAGTAACTTTTCAAGCTTATTGTTTAAGCATTTGCAATTGCGATTCTTTCTTTTCTTTTTCTCCTAGGTTGGGTGAAAGATCCTAAACACAACATTTCACATGGAAAAACATAAATGGGGTCTTGGTAGTTTTATTTTCCTTTTATTATATTCCTATTGTTTGTTTAAATTTGGGTTTTTTTCCCATTAAACTAAATAAATATAATGTAGCATTAATTTTTCAGATTTTTTTAATAATTTAGAGTTATTACAAAGTATTACTTTTTCATAATTTTTTTTACTATTGATAACACATGCGGACACAGTTATTCGAATCCTAGACCTCATGAGAAAACAACAATCTCATTAAGACCATTCAATGTTTTCTTCTTATTCTTATAGTTATTATTTTGCTAAAACATTAGGAGTGCTCTCAGTGCATATACATGTCACATGGAGCACAAATCCTTTTCTTCTTTGTATTAATTATATCATTTATAATTTCATTGATATAAACATAGATTTTCGTTTTAATTTTCAGGAGGATATACCTAGTCCGATCATTGGACCAAATTTTTATTTTTCAGACAATGATATTTTCTCAGACGCCCGGCAGAACTCTGAGGTCACTGATGACAACTCTTCCTATGGCAATAATCTTAACATGCCACCGGACATTGAACAACTCAACGGCTACCAAAACAACGGGAACACGAGTTCCGCCACCACCGCCTCCACCAGCACCAGCAACACCGCCACGACCACCACGGAAGCCGCCAACAACAACAATCTATCCATTATCTTCGATTCACCTGATGACATTTCAGCTTCCATAGACTTCTCTGAATCTCCATCTTTTTCAGTCCATCCATTTCTAACCAATCAAGACCAATTCGACATTTCTTTAGTGCAATCTCAAATCCAATTACCTGACGTTTCACAGGAGGGACTCTCGCAGTACACGACCGACACGGTCGGACCGCTATTAGGACCGCCGCTGTCATCTGTTTTCGATGAAGATTGCTTGTCTTCGGTTCCTTCTTATTTACCTTTAAACCCTTCATCTCCTTCTTGCTCTTTCCTTGGCCATCCAATGGCTTCATTCATGCCTGCTGGCACTACTTCTGGGATTTTCCCTGACAGAATTCTTTTGAACTCTGAACTTCAATCACATGACTTGGAATTCCAGGGTGATAATGGTGGAATCTTTTGCAGAGATTCTGTCCAACGAGTTTTTAAGCCTGGAGTCCTGCAGGTACTTGTTCGATATTCATCATTTCATATCTTATCTTATGCATCTCATTTTCTAATGGTTTTTTACAAAGGGCCTGAGCTCTAATAATCAGCAGCTTGTTGGAGTAGCAACAACAAGCTCTGCACCATTAGCTTCAGAGATTTCAACTTTGGAAGATTCAAGTTTCAGTAAGATTGGAAAACTTTCTGTTGAACAAAGGAAGGAGAAGATCCATAGGTACATGAAGAAAAGGAATGAAAGGAACTTCAGCAAGAAAATCAAGGTTCCTATACTCTTTCCCTCTCATATGTATACATATACACACTTTGGTATTCTAAGAATGGAATAACGATAAAACTATCCCCTGATATTTTTTTGTAGCATTTTAACAAATACATTTTAATTTTCCGTCAAAAATAGACTCTAATGAATGAAAATCGATACTTGACTAGCAGTCAACGCATGTTGCTGACATGATATTTCTACATGTGTTCAATTGATGACATGATACATGAAGTGATAATGCAACATGTTTCATCACCTAAAGTGATGACATGACATGTGTCACATCATCAAAGTGATGTTGTCACATGTGTCACATTAATAATTGAACACATATAGAATGTCACGTCAGTAATATGTATTGACCGTTCAACTAACAGTTTTCATTTATCAAGGTCTATTTCGACTAAAAATTAGAACGTTGAAGGTCAAATTGCTCCAAAAAAAATAAGATAAAGGACAAAGTGACAATTTGTACAAATGTTTGGAAGATAATTTTGTCATTGTACCTTTAAGCATTGAAGCAGTGATGTTTATAATCAAATATGCAGTATGCATGCCGCAAGACATTAGCAGATAGCAGGCCAAGAGTGAGGGGAAGGTTTGCTAAAAATGATGAATTTGGAGAGACACATAGGCAAGCTTGTAGCAATCATGGAGAAGAATATGATGATGAAGTAAGTGTCTTCTTTTTTTATTAATAAAAATCTCATTTTTTTTATACATGTATTGATGAGAAAGTTTTGGTTTGGTTTATAAGCAGGTTGTTGTGAAAGATGAGGAAGAGATGTCTGATACATTTGCTCACATAAGTGGAGTTAACTCTTTCAAATGTAACTTCCCAATCCAATCCTGGATTTAAATAGTTTTAAACTATAATCAAGTTGGGATTATTAATAGAATAGTGAATAAAACTGTAATTTTGTAGATCATATGGTAATTCCCATTGTATCAAGTTCAATTTTATTGTCCTGCACATAATCACCATGTTATTATGGCATTCCTTAATTGCCATAATCACTTGTTGAAGATGTTGAATTTTATGTTAGGCTGTGAGCCTAAACAAGTAGTTCTGTTTGCTTCACTCACATTTATATCATGAAATAAAGTACAACACTACTTACATAAACTATCCTTTACTATGTAGCTTGAATAATATGTGCAAGTCATTATTTGATTTATCAATAATTTCAATTTATATAGCATAATTTATGTCACAAACAAATATCACATGATAATCCAGTCGTAACAATTAAAATCAAACAACCTCAATAATTAAGGGATTATTACTATCCCTTGAGATCCCGAATTTAAACATCGCGTATACAAAAATTTAAACGTTGATTGTCAAATGATTTATAATCAAATCATTTAATTTATAAATTATTTTCCAATAACAATAGCCTTATAATCATATTAGTCAATGTATAACTTAGATGAAAATATAGAAAAATGAATATAATTTATTCATCATACCATCCATCATAAGTTAAAATAACATATAGTACCTTAATTATCATCATCGGTGTAAAATTAAAATAGTTTTACATTGTCTAAGTGAATACTAAGACACACATATATATATATATATCATAATCATCATTGTAAAACGAAAAGGTTTTACAATATATTAGTTGGGATCCACTTATACAGTGTAATTTTATTTTTCTTTTTACACAGATTTAAAACTATCGATATCAAATGAATAAGGGTAAAATATGGGTATTTTGAAAGGTATGTATACTTAGACGTCTAACATTATTAACATTGTCATTTAGTTGTCTATGTCGTAACATCCGTTAAAGAAATCGTTAAAAATAAGTCAACCAATCAATATTTGACATGTGACCTAATTACCATACAAGAGTAATGAATACATTCTCTGATTTTTAAGCAATAAAATATGAAATATTAGAAGACACAAGAATAAACTTCTTTGCGATGTTGTCAACATCAACAAGAAGACAATCACTTAATAAGAAGTGGCATGACTTAGTTTGAGACTTTCTGATATCCCAACTCATAGCCAAGATTCAAGACATTTTTTCTAGAAGCATTTGTAACATCCTCAATACCGGGTTAGTGACTAAATTGAAAAGTTTAGGGATTTAAAGTGTAATATTTTGATAGTGGATTAAATGGTAATTATGGAAGAATTGAAAGGGTATTATGGTCTTTTTATGTAAAAGATAATTATCTCTTATTTAAAGAGATAAGCTGATGGGTAAGGAAGTATCTGGAAAGCTACATTCTTCTTCCTTCTTCTTCCCGTTGGTTTACTTCATAAAGGTAAGTTTAATTTTAGTTGGTTAATTCTGGAGTTTTAAGCTTAGTTTTGATTCTTTGGGTATTAAATAAGCTTAAGGAAAGCTTATATGGGATTTAAACAATAAGATAAAGGAATTATGAAGGAATTTGCAATATGAGTTTTAAGATGAAATTTTGATATGGTATGGTTGTTGAAGTTTTATGGATGAATTTGACTTGTCATCAATCTAATTAAGAAGTATGAAGTGTTAGAATTGGAATTAGAACACATTGAAAATTTGGTATGATTTTTGAATCTCATATGGAATATAGGATTTTGAGGTTTAAGATGAAATAAATGAATATAAATTGGTTTAAGTATGTGTACTAGAGTTAAGAATGAAAAAGGGGATGATATATGAAGTGGTTGAGAGAAAATGAAGTAATTTTCGGGCTGAAATATGATTTCTGGGCAAGGGGAATCGGTACCCATTCAAGGGGAACCGATACCCCTTCAAACGACAGAATTCCAGAATGTCTTGAGGGAATCGATACCCCTCAGTAGGGAACCGATTCCCCCTAAAGAAAAAATGGGAATATTGGTTTAATAAGTTCGTTTAAGTTGCTAGTATCTAATTAAAAGGTGTAGGTATCTAATGATTACCTCGAAATGTACATTTATGTAGATTCTACGCATAAAGAAATTCCGGAACGTTTGGCAAGTAAGATCGATCAAGGGAAAGATAAGAGATTGGAATTGAATAGTGAGGCCAGGTGAGTGCATATTCAATAGTATATGATGTGCAATGGGAATAAGACTTGCGATGAGTCTATTTCCTGAAGTGTTACACATGAATGCATGATTAAAGGCATGAGTTGAATATGCATGTATGTATGCTTGAGTATATGGATTGATTTGTTCTTTTATGTGCTAGATGATAAAGTATAAGTAATTACATAAGAAAGGTTATGAATTATATGAGATATAAACTATGTGATCATAGTAAAATATAATTATTACTATATGATAAGTGAAATAAGATGGATAATGTTGATCTATAGGATGAAGTGAGAATAGTACACTAACTAGGAGATTTGAACATAAATGATAAGATGAACATATAAGATAAGCTAGATGAGAAGGATTCATATGTTTAAATAAAACTATAACACATGGGTTGTATGATAGAAAATTATGAAGTTATATGAGAAGATTATAGGAGTTATATGAAATTGAATTAAGTAAACATATTAGATCATATATAGAGAAATAATAGAAGTGATATATGTTTATAAGTCTGCCCTAGATGAATATGAATACGAAATATAAGAGTGCTATATGATTTATATTAGGATAATCTTAAGGATATATATATATAGATAGATATGAAATATATATGTGAAAACAAGTATATGTTATGAGACAAAACCTATGATTATAAGCTACGTGAAAGTGTTCCTATCTGTTATATGAAGTATATGATCATATGTGAACAAGATATGATAAGTATGTGTACATGAATAAATGTGGTTGAGTGAGAAATGATAGAAATTATATGAAAACATGTATAGGTGAATTAGCTTTATAATTAGGTAACTATAGGAAATCATAACTATGAATTATGTGATGTGAAAGTAATCTATGTGATTATATGTTATATGAATACAAGAACATGAGATATGTGACATGTGAATTATATGGAAATGATCTACGTATAAGTGAACTACGTGACTATGTGATAATATGAAAAGAAGCTATGGGATAAGTGATATGTGAAAGTGAATTACAAGTTATGTGAATATTTGAAATGAAATAAATGATAACGCCCATGTTATGTGTCATGAGAGCTAGGGGTATAGTTGGCATGCCAAGAGTCGAGGGTCTACGCGGTTCTTCGAGACATATGTATATTCTTTGGAACATGTTTGAAGTCTAGAAAGACACATACTTGATCCCTAGCATATGTATATGATTCTTAAAGAATTCTATGTGGTCCTTATGGACATTATTATATGGCACTACGGTGCAATTCTACGCGGTTCTTCGGGACATATGTATATTCTTTGGAACATGTGTGAAGTCTGGAAAGACACATACTTGATCCCTAGCATATGTATATGATTCTTAAAGAATTCTACGTGGTCCTTATGGACATCATTATATGGCACTACGGTGCAATTCTACGGGGCACTTCGGTGCATTTATACGAGCTGTGGTGACAGCATAGTGCACAACCTCTATAGACTCACATATCGATAGTTCTCACATATGTACATGGGCTAATCCAGAGAAATGAACAAATATAAGTTAGTGGTATGATAAATGCTATAGAAATGATATGATGTTGTGTGTATAGTGTTTGATTGAAAAAGTATGTGATTATATGATAAACTGTTAATGATGAATTATGTGTATGTATGTATTTACTGCAATTAATCTGATATGATTTTATACGATATGAAAAATGCATGGAATTGCTATAACATGATAGAACAGAACATGCATGTATCAATATATGTTTTAAAGTGCATTATAAGTTGTTATGCCTCACTAAGTCTTCGACTTAGCGTGTGATTGTTTCACACGTAGGTTTCGAGAAGAGTAAGGAGTGATGCGGAGCAAGACAGGTCAGTTTTCCTTACCAAAAGATCAGATCAGAAATATTTGACGAAGTATGTATTTGGTTATGTATAAAGTGTTGGCATGTAATAAGTCATTAAGTACGAGCACTCTGATAAAGTCTTTATTTTGATTTAAATAAAGTTTTAAATTTCCCGGGATTTTTCTTAAGAGTCAAGGTTTGAAAAGTCAATGTGACACTTCGGACTCGTATCCGGGTCGGATACGGGTTGGGGGTGTTACAGCATTGATCACTTCTTGAGTGTCCATCTGGTTTTGAGACCTCATAGAGAGAGGCCCTTAAATTATTAGATCAGAATAAGAAGGAAGAAAGATATTTGATGACACTTCTATTTTCTCAAGTTGATAGCAAGTGATTATTGATAAATAGCACGAGGACGAGGCCATTTGAAGTCTAATTTCTTACCATTCAAGTAAAAGTGAGCCGTGAAATACCCACATTATGGCATTCCAAAAACATGGATCATGTTGAGATAACGAGATTCAGATCAAGAAGACATTGAAGATGAACTTCGTCGTTTGAGATGTCATGGGCAGAATATAAAGATAAGAAGATTTTACCTTGGAAAATTAAACCATTCATGCTTCGGTGGGTAGAGGGGTCCTAAGAAAACAAATTTGATAGAGAAATTAAGTTAAAGAAAGACGGGGCATCAAACCATATATATGATCATAACAAGAATTCAAGAGAGAAAACATTTTTTTTCAAGACAGAAGATAAATAAGACATTATGAAACAAGATAATTAGAGTGTTCTCTAGAATATGCAACCCTAAACTGACAACTTTTCACAATAATATCGAGTCAATGTCTTTTCGAGAGTGATCAAGTGAGGGAAGATTAAGTCTCCACTTTAAAAGCCAGAAGAATATTGATGATCAACATTTCTGCATACGAGAACCTTATACATTACACTTAGATACATTAAATTGCATTCATATATAGATGCATAATTCTTACAGATCTTTCAAGGAAAAAAGAAAAAGAAAGG